TTTCCTTTCTCCTGCTTTATCTCTTTGTTTCCCGATGTATCTTCCTCGGCTCTGGCGTATTTCTCGATTCTTGTTCGCATTCTTCTGTCCACAGAAAGTCTGTGGCTTTTTTCACTAGGTTGAAGAAGGGTCTGCATTTATCTGAGCTTCTGCTGATGAATCTGTTTAGGGCTGCGGCCCTTCCAGTAAGCATCTGAACCTGTTTTGCCGACGTCGGGCTCTGCAGCTCTAGGATGGCCTTGATTTGGTCTGGGCTGGCCTCAATGCCCTTTCTCGTTACCAGATACCCTAAAAACTTACCTGATCCAACGCCAAACGCGCACTTTGATGCGTTGAGTCGGAGCCGGTATGTTTTGAGTATATCAAAGACCTCTTTTAGGTCGGCAAGATGACCCTTAGATTCCTTGGTCTTCACGACTATGTCATCGATGTAGACTTCTACCGTTTTGCCAATCAGGTGCTTGAACATTTTTGTTACTAACCTTTGGTAAGTTGCTCTTGCGTTTTTCAACCTACAAGGCATTACCTTGTAACAGTATAGGCCTTTAGGGGTGATGAACGCGGTTTTCTCCTCGTCTGGAAGGTACATGGCAATCTGGTGGTACCCCCTGTATGCATCCAGAAAACTTATCCTTTCATGCCCTGAAGTAGCGTCTATGAGCTGGTCAATCTTGGGCAGAGGAAAGCTGTCTTTGGGGTACGCTTTGTTGAGGCTGGTAAAGTCTACACAAACCCTCCATTTGCCATTCTTCTTCTTCACCACTACTGTGTTGGATAGCCAAGTTGGGTAGTGAACTTCTCAGATGGCCCAGGCCTCCAGAAGTCTATCTACTTCTTTTTCTACTGCTTCGACGTGCATCAACGTCGGTCTTCTGGCTCGTTGAATCACAGGTTTTGCCGATTTGTCGACATTCAGTCTGTGGCAAGTGACCTCGGGGTCAATTCCAGGCATCTCGTAAGGTGTCCAGGCAAACACCTCAATGTTGGCTCTCAAAAAATCTTCTAGTTCTCTTTCTTCTTCTTCGGTTAAGCCTGAGCCGAGAAGAAAGAAGCATTCTTCGTTGCCCTCCTGGACAAGGATTTTCTTTAGTGTCTCTTCACTCTTTTCGGTTGGTTCCTTGCCGACATCTTCTAGGACCTCCGTGTCCTCGTCTTCAATCTCTGCCTCTTTTGGCTTTCGAATGCTGCAAGTAGTCTTCATTGCTGCCATGGAGCAAGTTTTTGCCTGCAGTTGATCTCCTCTGACTTCTTCAATCCCATGCTCTGTTGGGAACCGTAGTAGTTGATGCAGTGTTGAGGGAACTGCCCCCATTGCATGCAACCATGATCTTCCCAAGATGATGTTATATGGCGAGGGTGTGTCAATCACTATAAATTCTGTCTTGATCTTTTTAGTACCAGCTTGTACTTCCACG